TTATTTCAGGTATTCCAACAGCCAAATATCAGAAGATCAAACATTCTGAATATGAACATATTTGCAAAGCTAGGAGGTTAAAGGCTGTCATGTAAATTCATAGCTGCAAACTGAAGCCCATTTTCATGAAGCATCCCTCAGGTACTCTTCAAAGAATGTAACAGATGAATGTATTTTAAGATCATAAGCAAGGTGTCAAAAACACCTGTACAATAACTCAAAATGTTTAAATAAACAAGTAACATGAGATGAATCTTCATGCTAAAACACAGTGGCTGTCTTAACACAGGAGAGTTGTTGTGAGTTCCTGGGTACCGCATGGAGAACATTCATGAGTGGGAGCGAGCAGATCTCAGTGGCTCCTAGATTCTATGTCCCTGCCAGATTACTCTGTTCACAAACTCTTGCCCAAAAGCACTCCCAGCAGTGTAGAGCAGCTGATCTTGCATCTCTCATGAGTGGGTAGGTATCTGTGCCTGTTTGCTTTGCCTTCATCCTCCCAAAGGTCTTTCCCCTTTTTTAAAAAAATTTTGTTGTTGTTGTTTTACCTGTTCCTTAAGGCCAGATTTCTCACTTTCTTCTGGGTTTTGACCAGCTCCTTTTTAAGGTTTTTCTCACATTTCAAATTGAGGTTTTTGTCTTTCCTGCAGCATGTGAGGGGTGTGGTGGCACAGTGGGTAAGGAATCTCCAGCTCTAGTAATAAAAGTTTAGGGCTGCTACACCTGAAGTTTTCTCCCCCTTCCTACTATGGCCACCAAGCTGTAAATGGGCACTTGGCATTTTTACACATGCAGTGGGACATGGCTCTGGGCACTTTAATTAGTGAGCCATACTAATTAAAAGCGCCCATGCATCACATGTATCAGTGTCCCTGCTCTGAAAAAATGGTGGCAAGGCGCTTTGAAGTAAAGCTCATTGAATGTGTTTTATTTCAGAGTGCCCCTCCACCATTTTTTCAGTACAGGGACATGCTGGGACGCTGATACATGTGATGCAGAAGGCTCCCAGACCACGTCAAATTTCATACCCCAGCAGACTCAATTATTTGAGTTTGCTCCAATGTGCTGGATTTCCGGTGCTTTGGATCGGGCTCCAGGCACATGTAGTCAAAGGCATGTGGGTATACTGCTAACCATGCCCTTCCCTTTCTATTGGCTACCAAAAGTGGTGACTTTAATGTTAGCTCAGTGGCCTAGAAGGCTTAGGTAGATCTTTTATAAGAAGCTTGTCTAGGGATCGGATACTGACAGTGCTATATATATATTGCAGTTGTGTAGCAGGAGGGCCACAGACGCCATATGAATTATCCAAGTAACGGCTGACTGGATCTTTGCTGAATATTGATAGTTTCATAGTTTCATAGTTCCTAGGGTCGGAAGGGACCTGAGAAGATCATCTAGTCTGACCCCCTGCCATGGCAGGAAAGAGTACTGGGGTCAAATGACCCCAGCAAGGTGTTCATCTAACCTCCTCTTAAAAACCCCCAGGGTAGGAGCCTGCACAACCTCCCTTGGAAGTTGGTTCCAGACCCTAGCCGCCCTGACCGTGAAATAGCGCCTTCTGATGTCTAACCTAAATCTCTAGCCATTGCATAGAGAGCACATGGCTAAAGTGTGTGGAGAGGAAATAAACTTCATTAGTTTATACCTGTGTCTCAGGTGTGAGGTTTCGGAGTTTTCTTGGTATTGATCAGAGGGTATATTTCACAGGTGGAGACCAGGGATAGCCCCTCTTTATAGCTGCTTTGTGGTTGCTTCATTTTGTTTGACAGTTGCTCTGGACTTATACTGGTAGGTTGTTTGTAAAGGAGGAGCTATCTAGCTGGACTTTCCTAGTTGTGATCAACGAATTTATGTTAATTAGGGGTACAGGCATTACCAGTTCTTCAATTTTCTATAAGCATGGCCCTAGTCACTGCAGAGTCTATGGGCCAGCACATTTTGGATAATACACTGAAACTTTTTCATAGTATTTCTGTTATTATATTTCTTGTCTGATTTAGTTTTACTCAAGATTTCAGCTGACTTTTTTGTCATTAAGAAACATCTCATAGACAAGCTGACAACCCAACTTTATCCCAACTACAGTTGGTCTAATAAAAGATATCACCATAATAAATCCTTCCCTTTCATAATGTCTGGACCATCATGGCTACAGCATCAGTTTTACACTACCATACCTATTTGCAAAGTAAGTTCTTCAGCTCTATCTAACCTAATTTCCTCTATCTACCTAGCTTTCTGTATATCACCATTTCATATGGCAGCTGAATGTAAGTTCTATTGTTGTTCTCTGTCTTATTCCTTTTCCTTTGCTTTTCAAATAGAATGTACCAGCATTGCTTCATTTTACAACAGTGTTTACAGGAAGTGTTGATGTAAAGAAAAACATTAAAAACACTATATAATTTTGTTTACAATAAAGAGCTCAGAGCACGCTTAAATCATTCTGATAAAGACATACAGCAGTAGTGATCAGCACATCTTTTTAGTAGGGCTGTGTGAAACTTTGATCCCTGATTCCATTTGGCAGAGATTTGGTGGCCGAATCTCCAAATCCAAATCGATTCAGAGGACCCTCCGAATGAATTCAGAAGGATTTGGAGATTCAAACATGCACAGCTTTAAATGTTTTTTCTACATACCTCTAGGTAGCAGGTGGCTTGTGAATACTGTGGTGTTAGGGTGCATGGAGTGTCCCACATGAGTGTGAGGGGCTCCCCAGCACACTTGGCAGCAGATCTGGAAGTGGACCAGAAGCACTTCTGGTCCACTTCTGAGTCTGCTGGGGAGCATGCCTCCCCAGCTCAGCATTTGGTGCCTTCTGGGTCTGGGGGGGACCTGGGATTCCCCTGTGGCTGATCACTGAGCTGCGGGAGGAGGGGGGGTCCCCAGCACACTCCCCGGTGGACCCAGAAGTCAACTGGAAGTATTTCTGGTCCACTTCCATGTTTGCCGCCAAGCACATGGAGGGTCGCTCTGCACTCCTGTGGGATGCTCCATGCGCCTCAGCACTGCAGTGTTCACAAGCCGTGCGGGTACCTTGAGGTATGTAGAAAAAACTTTTAAAGCTGTGTCTGTGTCCGAATATCTGATTCTCCAAATCAGCATTGGATCTTCAGACTCAGATTCAGCTGAATCGAATCAGGGACTTTTATCTGAATCAACTGATCAAACCACTGTCCCTGATTCGGGCCAAATCTGAATCAAATAGGGCCTGCCTCGCACACCCCTACTTTTTAGCCTTATCAGGATCCAGAATGCAAAAGAAATCTTAAAGAAAACCAGCAAGGCAGATATAAAACCTGTGCTATAGACTCTTATAATATGAAATCTAGTTTTTGGTCTGTTTTGCATTCTGCTACACAGTTTGTATATTTTTAAATCATTAAAATGTATTGATTCAACGTTGTTATAGTAATATGTATAGTAATAATGGATCATTTGAAAAAAATCAACAGCCAATAGGCTGAATTCTAGCTATTGGAAAAACTTCTAGCAGACTTTTTTTGGTGGGTTGCTCCAGAAAGCTGAGCTTCTTACTGAATATACTGAGCTGGGATCTGGTGTCTTTCTTGCCTTGGATAGTATATTATCTGTGGGAAAACATTATTGGCTGTCCTGGTTTCATTTTGACAACAGTAATCTTTCTTTATATTTCAATAGAGACTTTTAGATTTTGTTAATTTTTTTAAATTAAGGGAACACAAAGGAAATTTAAAAAGTAAAAAATATGTATAATTACAGCTCTTACATAATTAGAGGACCATAGCCAAGAAGGTTATAAGAAGAGATGATCTTTTCCTTAGACAATGAATTTAATATTGTTCTGTTGTAACTGAAAATTCTGTGATCACAGTTCCATGGCCTAATAGAAAAGAGTTGGAAGTCTCAGTCTCCAAACCATAAAATAATCACCACAATTAGCATTGTTTAGTAGTCTCAGCAGGAACAGAGAAGACTGAATGGGCTTTTTGGTTTGGCAGAAGGGATCCAAAATGAATGATAATCTCAAACTGAATCTCAATCTTGCAGTACCTCAGCACTGAAAGCAAGCTAGAAACATAAGTAGAAATTATAACTGAATTTTTATGTGGTTTTAGGTCAGAGTCTTGAATTAGTTATCAACTTGTATGTGGTCTCTACTTAAATGTTTGTGGTAATGAGACTATTTTCGCTAAGTACAGACATTGCACATATCACACTTTAAATGTACAGAAACCTTTCTAAAGCCATAACTGAACAGATGTTCATGGCTCTTAGAGCATGTTAAAAATGATGGCTTATGCTCTAAGTTAACCTTCAATGGATGACTTATTAGACCAGGGGCAGGCAAAGTCCAGCCTGCAGTACAGATCCAGCCAGCAGTGGACTCCATTTCCCAGCAGCCCCTGCCTGCATGGCTGGGACCAGTCTCCATGGAGACCCCAGCCAGTATGTTGTGATAGCAAGGCTGGGGTTGTCATGGAGACTGGCTCAAGCCACACTGGCAGGGCGCGCAGCAGGGCAGGGCGCGCAGCAGGGCAGGGCAGGGGGCTGCTCCAGAGCCACTGCAGTAGGGGCAGGTTGGTCCATGGGCAGGGCAGTGCTGCAATTTGCTGCCTACATGCTCCAGGCTCAGGCACACAAGCAGCAGATCATGGATCTGCCCCAGCTTGGGACCACACTGTCACTGCTGCAAGGAGCCAAGGCACAGCCAGAATCCACTGCCTGCATGCCCTTGCCCTCAGTGTGCAGGTGGCAGATCGCAGCTCTGCCCTGGCCATGAAACAAGCTGGCCCCACCACAAGATCCCAGTGCCTCTGGAGCAGCCCCCTGCCCTGCCAGCACTCTGCCAGTGCAGCTGAGGCCGGTCTCCATGGCAACCCCAGCCTTGTGCTATCATAGTGCAGTGGCTAGGGTCCATAGAGACCAGCCCCAGACATGCATGCATGGAGTGCTGGGATATGGAGACAGGCTGCTGTCTGGATCTGCCATTTAGCCCACACCTGTATTAAACTAAAGTGCTTCCTGTTATAGCAATTTATCGAACGTCTGTGCCAGATCCCATTGAGGGTTAACTTAGGGCATGATTGTAGCCTTTCCAGGTAGTGTTGTGCAAGGTTGCGTTCTAGCCTCGGACAAAGCTTTGGCTCAATGAAAGCCTCTGATTATTTAACTGATAAGCTCAGTGATATCCAGTTTAATGGTTATTGTTTAATGTGGGATGGGGCATAGTGGGGGAAGGGAAGCTGAGCAGTGCCCCAGCAGGAATTAGAAGGTGGCAGAGCTGGTAGGAGGGAGGGATGAGAGAGGAGGAGCGGAGGTTGAGGGGCAAGGGGGGACAAGTTTCTATAGCTTATGAGGTTAAAGAGGAAAACAGTGAGTGGTCTAATGACTTGTCACTTAAGTAATTAGCTATCCATTCACAGGTGCTCCTTTCCTCCCAGCATAGGGCTTCATACAGGCTGTGTTGCCTGACTGGGCTTGCCAGTGCCTCCTCCCTACCTCCCATCCCCCTCAAAGGGTCCCAGGAGTGGCTCCCAGCATCAGCTGTGTTTGAGCTGCTGTGTTATCAGTTAATCATTTAACTGATATAATTAGAGGAGGTTAAATTGATTTTTTAAAATGATATTTACATGTTTATTCTGATCCCAGCCCCACCTCCTCCCCCTGGCAAGCTGCAAGCTGCAGCCAGAAGGGTGGGGGGAGTCTGTCTTTCCCTAAGTCACCTCTGTCCTGTGGTGCACTACAGCTCAGCTGGGGGGACCACAGAGAAAGGAGTCTAGGGTCTCTCTCACATAGGTAGAGGGAGGTAATTTTTTGTGGGGGGCCTGAGTGTGTGTGCATCTGTGTGCACATGCCCCCCCAGCAGGTAAGTCTACAAGGGAAGGGGTGAGGGGAGGGGAAAGAGCCATGGGAAGTGGGGGGAGTGGGAGTGGGCCTGGGGCAAGCCCTGCATAGTTGCAGTGGGGCATGGGACAGAACCACCGTTCATCCAGGGGACGTGGGGAGGTTATGGTGGTTCCCGCTGCTGCACACACTTCAGGAGGCATGGGTGGGGGGTGTGTGCTCCCACATCTGTGCAGGGCAGGGTAGGGCAGGGCAAGGCAGGCTGCAGCTGCAGCTGCAGGCTAGGGCTGGGGCAGCACTGAGCTTTTCCCAGAGGGAGCTGGGCTGTGCTATGCTCAGGACAGGTGGTGACGGCACTGGGAGGGAGTTTGAGGGGCCGCCAACCCCCTTCCTAGGGTTCTACAGAAAATTTTGGGGTGGCTGCAGCCCCCCCATACTCCCATCCCAGCACTGATTCTACCTGCCCTGAGTGCAATGCATCCCAGCCCACCCCATCAGGAAGAGTCTGGCACAGCCCTGGCCCCAGCCTGCAGTGGCAGCCTGCCCAGCCCAGATCTGGGGGCACCCCCCATGCCTTCTGAGGTGTGTGTAGCACAGAAGTCATAGCCCTTGCAGCAGCAGGACCTCACGGCTCAGTCCTGAGCCCTGCCCCACCCTGGCTGTGCAGTACCTGTCCAGTCAGGCAGCCTCAGCCCGAGCCCCACTCCCTCCATTACCACTGTGTGTGGGCCCCTCCCCATCCCTGCTGCAGTTGCTGGAAGCACACGGCCAGGCTGCCTTGTGGCCCTACTGCTGCCCCGCATTTGTGGGGGCTAAGCCCTGTTAGGCCCCCCCTTCTGCCAACTATGTTGTCTCCCCATAGCAGCCCAGGCCTCTCAGTGCACTGCTGCCTGACTGGGGGGCTGCAAGGGATGGAGACTGCTCTGGGGGCACAGAGCCCAGACCCCTTTCCACTGCAGTTCCCTCAGGCTGGCTGGGAGGGTTGCTGACCTAGGGGGCCACAGTGGAAGGGGTTTGGGGTCTCTTTCCCCATGGTGCACTGCTTTCTGGCTGGGGAGGCTGTGAGGGAAGAGGTTTGGGGTATCTTCATCCCCCAGTTGCTGCTGACAATTGCCAGATGGTGGGTGGGGCAGGGCTGAGGAGAAGGACTACTCTGGCAGCCTCCTGGGAGGCATGCAGTAGTGGCCCCAGTGGCTAGTGCAGGCAGGCTCTGACCCCACCTCCCCCTCCAAACAGCGAACATGTTAGGTTCACTCATGCTCTAACTTATAGTGCTTTAAGTAAAGCATGATATAGTGCTTCTGCTAGGGTTTTTTGAATGTCTGTACTTAACCTTAGAGACCAAGTAAAACTGCTTCTTTTTTCTGTCCCTAGAGCAGGGGTAGGCAACTCCTAGCATGGGTGCCAGAGTGTGGCACTCAAAGGCATTCTGCTTGGCACACATGCCTCGGGGCAGATGGTGGGGAAGGGGCCAGGGCTGCACTGCCACAACAAGTATTGGGTACCTCATGGCTCCTCCACCATTTGCCCCTGTCAGGCCAACATCTTACAGGTCAAGGTTGCAAGTGTTTTTGGCACTCTGCCCAAAAATGTTGCTAACCCTAAAGTAACTACTCTTCAAGTATTTACTTTTTTTGAAACTTCCTCAGAGGCTTCCATAAGTGACTTACATCATTAAAATTAACTATTAAAACAGAAATAAAGACCTTTTAGAATGCTTAGCAATAATCTCTACTAGTAACATTATAAACTAATAAAAGAACTATGATTTATTGTTATTACTCTTCATCATAACATTTTAAAAGCTATTGATCTGAAAATTATTCATATCATTATAAATGGGGTTTTTTTGGATATCAAAATTAAATATAAAGCAAGGGAGTTGAAACATCATAGTAATAGGGATTCACATGACACGTGAGGTACACTAAATATCTAATTTTAAAAATGCTGTTATTCCAGTTCATCAGAATAAAGTGAAATTTTTATTGAATATTCCTATGATTTTCCATTGACTCCCTTGGTTATATATTAGCTGGCTCTATCGTAACTATTTATCTGGGGAAATAAATGTCAAAGGAAAAATCATATTTGTAATGGCTACCGTAATAATATGGTTGGTTCACTGGCCCTTGTTTGAAATTACTCATGTTGGCAGCTGTTTTCTGATTTTAGAAAGTATTACTCTGATAGGAAACTAAGCAATCTGAGTCTGCCAGGGCAACATAGTGTCCAAACATATGTTTGCTACACTCAATCTAGGTCTAGGCAGCTTACTTTAAGTGGTTGAGAGGGATGGGTGGGATTGAAGGGGTAGGGCTGGTGGGCGCAGGGGAGTTTTGTGCATCCAGCGGGTACTGGCAGGTCTTCAGGGTGGGGGTAGCTGGGAGGGAGTGGGGAGGATTGGTGGGTTTGAGGCAGGGGGTTGTCTAGTTGGGAAGAGTCAGCACCAGGCCTATGCTGCAAACATATTCAGGCACTGGGGAGATTGGGTATAGGTACAGAGATTAAAAAAATATGAAGCAGAATCAATTAAACCTACATAGGTTTCTGTAAATAGCATGGGCGACTGGTGCCTCCTGATACTCGGGGGGTGGGACACCAGTGGCTGATTGCTGACTGGGGGGGTCACTGTCCAGGGGGAAAACCTGGAAGTGCCACCAGCACTTCTCTCAGCACCCCCACAATCTATGGGGGGACACCAGCCATTGTCCCCCACTCCCTGGCTGGAGAAGGCCAATCTCAGTACCCCCCCCATATCTCCCCTATGCATCACTTATGGTAAATGGTATAGGTTAGATTGGGAGCAAACAGAACACATATTCACCCTTTGGTTGGGGGGGCATGCAGGCTGCTGAGGCCATCAGGTTGGGGGAACTCCTGCATGTCTCCCAGCATATCCTGCAGGCTCCCCAAGCTACTGGAGACTGCCAAGCACAGCCAAGCACCTGGGCCACCCCTGACTGGCTTCTGGGCATGGGGGGGCATGCCCCCAGCCCCCTGCTACATCACTGCACACCCTTCACCATGCCCAACCCTAGGCTCCCAGAAGAGCCTCAAAGCGGGTCACTGTGGTATGCCTGACAGTCCAGCTGGTGGCAGCAGGGGAGACACTCTGCAGAAGGAAGGATCAAGCCCCTTGGAAATCCGGCAAGTGCAGTGGCTGTTGGCAGGATGCTCCCAGCAGCCCAGGAGTTTTGTGCCAGGCGGTGAGAAAGTGGGGTACCCTGGCCTCCTGCTGTTGGCTGCCACTGGTGCTAGCACTCCAAGGGCCCTGATCCTTCCTTCTGTTGAGCTTCCCCCACCGCCACCACTGGCCAATCTACCAGGGCCACACTGCAGCCATCACAAACTATCCATCCTCCCAGTAGTAACTGAGTATGTTTTAAGGCATTCCACCAGTAAAATGTAAATGCAGTTTGTCCACAAGTACTCAGATTAATATGTATCACTTGCTACTTTCTAACATATAAATACATCACACAACATAGAAATGAATGTAAGTGTTAGAATAAATTCATTATGAATCGGTGATCTTTATTTACCACTCATTTTAACTGCATTACTGAACATGTGCTGTACCCAAAAACTCAGGCATTTATACAGTTAAATTGATGGTAGAGAATATTTTGCAAATATTTTGTGTATGATGCTATTTGTTCCATAGTTTTGCGGGGCAATGGGGGTCTGTGGGTGGGTGTGCAGGAGCCAGGGTGCAATCCTTGGGGTTGTACCTGTGTACGGGGGCATAAAGTTAATTGGCTGGGTGTGTGGGAGCCAAGAGTGCAGTCTGTGGAGCTGTGTCCAAGCACAGGGGTTCTCTTGGGCTATATGTCAGGTCTGTGAGAACATCCTGGGGTGCTTCATGATGGGATGTGGGGGTATGGCCCAGGGAAACAGATTCTCTCACCCTGTGCTGCCTGCCTGTGGATGACAGTTAGCCAAAGGCAGAGGTGGGGAGAAGGGTTTTGGTGGCTTGGCTTTGGGAGAGATAGGGGGTGAGATAGGGTGATCACCTTTTCCAAATTGGAAGGCAGGACATGTGTTTCCCCCCCTCCCAACTCTGACTGGTGGGATGGCTGGACCAGAGCCAGGCAGGGGCAAACGTGAGGTGCCCACTGTGGCCTCCCTGATGCAGCCGTGGGGCTTCCCACCTTGCTCTTCCCCTGGGAGTCCTGCACCAGCCACATGCCCCCTGTCTGCCCAGCAGCAGTGTGGGGCATAACTCCAAGCTGCCACTGCCCTGGCTGCTGTTAGGTGGGTGGGCTCCTGGGGGGAGGAAAGCAGGGCAGGAAGCCCTGAAGCTGCAATTGGTAGCCTGCATCCACCTCCGTCCCATACACAAATCTGGGAGGCCAGATTTGTGCACCTTCACCCCCCATAGACTTGCCTGGAGGGAGCTGCTCTCCACCCTGTCTGGCTCTTTCCTTGCCACATGTATGTTTGTGGACATGCACATGAATGTGGCACCCCGTGTTCCCACTCCCAGCAGCCCCTTGTAGCTTGGAACACTGCCAGCCTGCACAAGGAAACCCAGTGTTAAGTCAGGAAATGGAATTCAGGACTAGTGTATAAAGCAGTGGTCTCCAACCTTTTTAAGTAGGAGATCACGTTTGGCATTTAAAAGCAACTGAAGATCTACCATGTGCCGCACCCCCTGCCCACCTAGCAGGTAAGTCTGTGGAATGGGAAGGGAGGGGCAGATCAAGGTAGAGGGAGAAAATATTTTGGGCTGCACCTCCCCAGGAGGTAAGTCCCACCCAGCTGGGGCCCCACTCAACTTACCCCTGCTCCTGTGGCACTGTCCCTCACCGTGGGGGCCTCAATCTAGCCCCTGCCCCATCCTTCCCCCACGGACAGACCCACTGGGTTGGGGCACGCATGTGCATGCACACAGGCACTCAGCCCCCGACTCCAGCCTTGAATCAACTCCAAGAGGCTCTGAGATCTACCACAACAGGTTCTGAGATCTACTGGTAGATCGAGATCCACTGGTTGGTGACCACTGGTATAAAGAACTGACACGACATCTGGTTTGATGAATGACAGAAAGGCTTTATTTACTACAAGTATTCACTCTTAAATGAGCCTAAAGCAAAGTAAAGTCCAGTTTTTAGCTGTAAAGTGATAGTTTCTCACCAATTACAGGCAAAAGAGTAATCTCTGTCTTTTCAGCTTCTCTAAGCCATGGATTGATTACCTAGAAGATCAGCTGGGTGCAGTAGCAGTTCTTGTCAGAATGATTTCTCATTCTTGAAGTGCGTGTTGTTAGCTGTTTTGTTCCTCTTTTATACACTTTTGCCCAGCATCTTCAAAACATTCTTGTAGTTGTGTATATTGAGAGCATCCCAAGCAGTAATTAACAGGAAAATCCTGTTAATCAAACTGTTCATTACTGGTTATGAGAAAATCCCAATTGTATTGAATTACCTTCCTCTGTAACAAGAGGTTATCCATTTCTACTAAGTTGGAACATATCAAGAAATTGATTAACAACTAGGAAAAGCACAATGTTTTTGAGTTGTCCTTGGAAGATAAAGGGAACCACTGAGGCAAAACAAGAGTAAATCAGGAGACACCTATCAAAGCCCATATGGAGAATGTCTCTTCCTACAGATAAACACAAGTTAATTGTGAAGAAATATTTAGTATACTAATTAATCACGATAAGCATTTCACACTGTTATGTACCAGACATATGAAAGCCTGCTTTAAATCATCATAAATATAGTAAGATAAGCTGGAAGTGATGCCTCATTATTTCTTTTCAGAAGGTCCAGCTGTAAACTTACATTGTCTTACACTGTGCAGTTGTCATTAGTATTTTGTATTTTAACTTTTGTAAGTAGGCCCGGCTCAGCTTGAGTTTCACAGTCATCACTCAAATCCCTACACGATGCTGTGAATCTGGCCTGAGTCCACCCTTTCCTAAATCTGGTTAACCCTTTCTTCATCTAAGTCAGTGTGCCTCCTGAGGGCATTTACTATATTCATTTGATTGCAAGTCAAAGTTTTTTTTTCCCCCATTTAACATGTGGTGGTGGGGAGAGCTACTTGTCTAGGAATCAAATATGAAGCTGCTGCATGGCGGCTTTGGCTTCAATCCTGCTGCTGCCTGCTACCCCACCACCTCTGTATCCCCCCGCCATTCTTCTACTGCAGCCCCTGCCCCCACTACCCCCATAATGCTTATGCATAGCTTTAAATCACAGAGTTGTGAGCTATGACTTGGATCCATTTCAGTCCCTCTCAAGTGTATCTCTTTGGTGACAGAGTTTGCTCCTGTTGCCGTTCTTTGGTTGGAATCAAGCAGTTCTACCATTTTTAAACTGGATTTCTTTGCTCTACCCTCCCTGTTTACTATCTGTATTAATTGAAGAGATCTGCCTGTGTTTAGCATGTGGAACCTTTTTTTCCCTCTGGAAACCTATGAAAACAGCTGATTAACTCAGACACATCTTTTTCAAAACAAACCATATTTATTGTATCTACTCAAATGTAGATAGAAGAAGAAAAGGATAAAACCAATATTATGTTTTCTGTACCTAAACCTTCATCTTTCCTTGAAAGCTGTGTGAAGGCCCAGTTACCTCTATCTCTGGGTAGGGAAAAGAGCCTGTTTGCTGCAACTTCTCCCCCTGTTTGGCATATCCCCTCTAGCTAACTGCTGAGAACTGCTGACAAACCTCTGCTTAAATCTAGCATCATTAATGTTTCAGTATGCTCTTCGATCCTAGGGAGGAATCATGGGAAGAGAAACCATGTCAGCCTGATTGGAGCTATGATCAGGCTTTCCCTGATGAAGAGCTTTGCCATTGTTTCATATCCTCTGTGTTACACTCTAACACGCTCATTTGATGTTACTCTATGCCAATAATATCAAAGTGAAGTATATATGATACTTAGAAAGAATATCCTATCTCCCTTTATTCACCACATGCAGTAAATACAGAATTTCTTTTTCTATCTTTAAACTGTCCATTCGTAAAACAGCAATACACTAGTGCAGTGCAAATGCAAAAGATTAATTGGGAAACCCTGATGGATGAGTGAGGAGAAATGTTTTTCTTTATTTTACGTGGATTGTTTATGTCTCTGTACCCCATCTCCCTGAAGATGAGAGATGAGAAACATAGGCTTCATGTGAAGAGAATAATTGAAAGTCTCAGTGTGAGCAAGAGCTGCTCCTCTGGAAAAATAAAAGTTTCATGTGAGCATGAAAATTCTTGCACCTTCAGGGAAAATGAGAAATCACAAATGCCAGAACAAAAATTATACAAAAACTCTAAGAGATTTTTTTAAGGTGCTGTTCAAAATTTAAAGAAATTTATAAACATCTAAGGATACTTATACATTTATTGCAAAGTGGAGACAGCTTGTATTAATAGCAATGGGAATACATACAGAACTTCAGCATTCCAGTGCTATGCCAAGAGCAGGTTTTACAAAGCCAGCAAATCATGTAGAGGAAGAAATGTGCATGAAAGTTAAATCCTCATAAGTGTTATAAAAAGTGTGTGAGTAATCTAAGGAGGTTCCAGTCATCTTCAGATTTGCTGATCCTATTAGGATTTATCAATCTATAGATTACGTATCAAGACATTCTGTAGCTTCTTTTCAAGAGGTAGCAAGCAAATTTGATTTGTATCTGTGGCAAATGTCAAGAATTATAGTGTCTGTGTTTTGTATCATTATAGATTCAACTTCTGACATATAATTAATAAATTAAAGAGTTAATGATGAAATTTTCCTCTGTAAGGAAGCGTATTTAATTTTTTTACAGAATATTTCCAAGTCATAGGCTTTATATAGCTGCTTGATTTACCTCTATTATCAGTTGAAGATCTGCTCCTTAACATAGATTTAGAATAGCTGTATGTCTTACCCTGATATAATAGTTCAAGCCCATGAGGTCTCTTCCAGTCCTAATCTTCTGTGAATCTGTGAATTTCTTCTCAAAGCTCCAATTCTGAGCAAATCAATTCAGAGATTTCACCATTCTGTGGTTATAGGTTTGGTGTGAATTAAACCATTTCACATGACTTCATGGCTACAAAACAATTGAGAAAATAATGGAAAAAATTCAGATTGAAATATTTTTATGTAGAGGCTAGGAAAAAATGTGAAGGTCAGCTTCCTAGGACCAGCATAAGCCTCAGGGTCTATTTATTATTTATTTTTTTGGTGGTGGGATACTTGTCCAGAAGATGTGGTGGTTTTGATTTTTTTAAATTTGACTGCATTTTGCACATGTTCCATCCTTCAATGACAAGTTACAACTTTGCTCTTTAAAGTCCTGGACACATTGATAGACAGGCTATGTTTCTCCTTATGTGATGTAACTTCTCATGCTATCTCATATCCTCTCCGTCCTGCCCCCATACACAAATATTTAATTAGTGGTGTGCACTTTACAATATGACATGATATATTGTGTGTTACCAAAGAAGCTTGCTGGAGCAAGGGAGGAATTTAGGAAATAGAAGTTGATCCAGATGAAGAAATTATTGGTTTCTTCTTTTATCTGAAGATAATTAATAGGATAACCAGGGGGAGACTGGTTGGAGTACAATTTTTACTTTTCGGAAGCATAAGTGAGTGCAGCTCTGTCACAGCATTCCAATTTTTAGAAGTACACATCCACTTGCATGGCAAGTAGTATAAAATCATATTATATTTGTCCAGCAAGAGGGCTTTTCTCTTTATTTATTTCTGATATTACCTAGCCAGCTCCAGGAAATCTTATTAATTTGTGGACAAGGGTAGAAGCAGGACAGAGCCCTCTGTTAGTTCTTGAAAACCCTTTAAATGCCTTAATAGAGCTTTTTCTTCAAAAAAGCAGACACACACTTTGCACCAAATTCTCAGTTGAATTAAATACTGTTCAATTTAATTGTCTGCAGATTGATACAATGCTAAATCACCTGCTGTAACTCAATTAAAAATGTGATCTATTGTATGTAGAGAAGATTTGGGGAAATCTTGGGTGATAATATGCTATGAAAAAATGCCTGGACTTTAGAGACAACAGTTTATTTACTAAAAATAGGTTATTTGAAGCTCAAGGTTAAAAGTAAAGACATTCCAGAGCAGCACTGTTAAAAGCCAGTTTCACTCATGCTTTGAAAACTCTCAAGGCTTATATTCCCCTGTCAGGTCTATAGATATGCAATGGTGATAGAAAAGGTTTTTATTAAAGCTCTATATCGGTCAAAAAGCCCTTCTTTATGTGGTATGTATGTAATTGAGAACAATATATAATGCCAGTACTTTTCCCCCTCACTACACTAAGAATTTTTATAAGTGGTTTTTTAATTCAATGGCATATTATGGTACTAAATACACCAATTGTGCATGAGGTACCAATATACCATATGTTTAGAAACCTGGTTTTCAGTGAAAAGATCTGATGAGCTAAGTCAAGTGTGAACATTTTGAGTTAGCATAAAAACTGGCTAATTTCATGGAAAATACTCCTCAGGGAGTAGCTCATTATCCAATCTACAGCAAGGGGCACTGTATTGGGGGTAAAAAGTGGCTTCTTGACCCTTGTGAGCTGAATAGAGTAAGAATTCATGCTCAGATGTGTACTTGTTACTATAACACTTTCTGTTCTTTACCTGGCTTCACCTCTGAGTCTGATCCTCAAAACCCTACTCGCCAGATCTTTCACTGGCCAGCAGAAGGAAAGAGCACAGCTTGATGACTGAGGAGTTAAGAAAACAGAGCATACTGGGGATGGAGTAAGGGCTTCACTTGGTGAGACTAGGGATTGTGCAGGAGTTGAAGAAAAGACATTCTATTACTTCTTCTATGGATGTAGAAGATCAGACCCATCGTCTTTAATGTCTTAAAGCTGATTGCTTCTTGCTTAAATGTGTTTAATTATATTTATGCCTCCTATAATATAAACATTGTATGTTTCAGATTTTTCTAACTTTTTTTTGGAGGGTGGGTATGGGATAGGGTATTTTGATTTATATTAAACCATGCCTTTCAAAATTTCAAATAACTACTTAGAGGCTGCATCTACATGAGATGCTGGCTATGCAATAACCAGAGTTACTGTACAGTAGTGTTGCCAAACAGCTTTTTCATGATGCTGACTGCACAGTACTACTATTGTGCTGTAGCATCACATCTTACTTCCTGCCACGCAGTGCTACTGCACAGTAGTCATAGGCCACTGCACAGCTCACATCTTGTGTAGATGCAGCCAGAGAGTTATTTACCGATTGTAATGTATTTGCTATTCTCTTTCAAGGTCCAGTTGAAAAGCGATGAATCCAAAACATTTGCAATGAAGATACTGAAGAAGCGTCACATAGTAGACACCAGACAGCAGGAGCACATACGGTCAGAAAAACAGATAATGCAGAGTGCTCATTCAGACTTCATTGTGAGGTACTGTTACTTTACTTCATTTAAAGGACATCCTCAAGGCCTTTACTTTACTTTAGTTCACTTCACTTTTAGGAATGATTGCATCAGCCTTGACCCTGTTTCTTACAAAATTATGCTGTTATGCAATGAATTATCCCTGAATTAGTATAGGTAAAACATCTTTTGAATATAGGCTGAATGTATTAGGGTTAAAGTTGCAATGATTTTGCTACACTTGTAACATTACAGAAGCCTATGCAGATAAAAGTTATGTAATTATAGTATACACTGATATAATTTGACATTGATCCAATTATTAGGTCTGTGAATACCCACAAAAATCATCTCTGTTTAGTAACTCAGCAAGCATAGCACCACAAGTTTCCATGTTTGTGGTCTCTCAATGATTTATCACTGTCTGCTCAAAATTCTTAACTTCCAACCCTTGCAAACTCACTGATCTGGAAGTCTCATTGTACTCCATCTAGTATCTATCCCTGATACCAGGAATATTAAAATAATTTCAGCAAGCCAAAAGAGAATCTAGTTCATCTTCCAGGATTTTAAAAAGCAGCATTTTAATGGTTTTATGAGAAACAAAACATATGACTCTGTGGGTGCATTGATAAGTGTAATTAATGTGCCTGAATTTTCTTCACAGAAAATTAAGAAGCATTAAACTGCATCCTTGTACTCATGTGAATGTGTGCCCATCAGGAGCAAGTTTGATCCTGATGGGAGCAGTTCACTCTAGGGCTGCTCCTGCCCTGCTCTGTTCCAGTGTAGCAGCCAGGATGAGCTCTAGGATGGTCCCAGCCTCCACAAGGTTGGGGAGAGCTGTTCTGGCAGCCAGGCAGCTGTGTCCCAGCCATCTGGAGATTGGGTTAGGACCCAATCTCCACATGGCCAGGTGATTTATCCCAGCAGCTGGGAATGCTGCATCCTAGCCATGTGGAGATCGGATTGGAAGTCAATCTTCCCATGCTGGGAGAGCTTTCCTGATAACTGGGACTACTGCTTTCTAGCCACATGGAGATTGGGTAGGGACCTGATCTCCACATGACTGGGAGAGCCATAGGTGGCAGAAGGCTGGGGCTTGGGGAGCTTATCTTTCCCTTACTAACTGCCAGTGACAGCAGCAGCACCACTCGGCATACAGCCAGGCTAGTGCCCCATGTGCACTCAACTCCACACGGCTGAGAAAAAAGAAGCTAACTGTGCATGTGTTGCACCACACAGAGCAAAATGGGAGATGTAGTTCTCATATTGAAGCATGCACTCCACTCCCTCAAATAATATTTTCTTCCTCCATCTATGGGGAGAGCTGTCCCGGCATCTGGGGACTACTGCTGCTCAGCCTTTTCCTCCATTTGGGGTGGTCCTGGGCGATAGTCATAAGTTGATGTTGATGTTACATTTTTTCAAGTTGGCCTCAAGGACATCCTTGAAGCACTTTTGCTGCCCTTCTATTGAGTGTATGCCTTGATTGAGCTGGGAAGCTAAAACATGCTTTGGAAGCCTGGAGTCATACACTCAGATGACATGGCTGGCCTAGCAAAGTTGACATTGGATAATCATCACCTAGTCGCTTGAGGTGTTTGCATGTAAGAGGACACTAATGTTGGTGCATCTATCTTCCCACTGGATTCAAAGGAACTCCCAAAGGCAGTGTTTATGGTACTTCTCCAGCAACTTGAGGTATCTTCTCTGTGTTATCCAAGTCTCAGCTCTGTACAGTAAGGTGGGGATCACAACTGCTTGATAAACCATGAGCTTAGTTTCAGACATGATGTTATGATCTTCAAACACCTATTTCTTCAGGCATCTGAAATCTACATTTTAAGGCAATGGTCTGAAGGTCTGGTTCCAAGTGAGCACACACAAGAGCACCATCAGTGCACCAAAGCCCAATGACTGAGGTCAGGATGCTCTTGGTTTTGGCTTGAAGTTGGCTGCAATTAAACAGCTTGCCATCCATTTAGTAGTTTAGCAGCACTCCAACTGGAAGCTTGTTCGTGGTAGGATATAGCATCACAGTAAGGAATATCAAGAAGAGCATTGGAGTGATGATGCAGCTTTGCTTAACTCCCATCTTAACCTCAAACAGATCTGCAGTAGATTCATTACTAAGAATCAGCACTCACATACCATCATGGAACAGGTAGAAAATGGTAGCAAATTCTGGTGGGCATACAGATTTCAGAAGCATCATCCACGGTGCTTCTCAGTTGACAGAGTTGAGGGCTTTCACGAAATCAAAGAAAGCCATGCAGAGAAGTTTGTTATTCCCAAATGTTTTCCTGCAGCTGGTGAGCAGTGAAGATCATGTCAGTTGTGTCTCTTGATGTCCTAAGCCCACACTGAGATTCTAAGATGAGCTCTTCAGCAAGTGGAAGGAGACAGTTCAGGAGGGTTCTTGCAATGATCTTTCCTGTGGTGGACTGCAAGGTGAGCTCTCTGTAATTTCCAGTTGAACTTGTCTCCTTTCTTGTCGACTGTCACAATCATGGTGTCCCTAAAGTCATCTGGGATTTTGTCACCATTCCAGATCCTTAGGATGAGGACATGAAGCTGTGGTCTGTGCTTCTCTCCCCATGTTTGAAGATTTCAGCAGGGATTCCATCAGTTTCAGATTCCTTGTTTTTCATCTGCTTGATGGCTTTTCTTACCTTTACAAGGGTTGGAGGGATTTCAACATCATCTCTGACTAGAGTTGAGAGCATGCTCATCAACAACAGTTGAGAAGGTCTTCAAAATAGGATCAGGTCTCCTCCACCTCAAGGGGGTGGTCCCTGAGTGTTCAGACCATATATGGCTTTGGTGGAAATAAAGAAACAGCACATATCGTGGATGTCAGTGAGACGTTGAATCTCCTTTGTCTTGTCTTCCCACCATCTGTTCTTCACATTACAGGTCCTCTTTTGGACCTCTGCTTTAGCTTGTTAGTAATTCAGTTTCTTTTGCTTAGAGTCAAAGTCATTCTGCCAAGTACAAAAGGCCTTGTGCTTGCAGTCGATAGCACTCTGATATCCCAGTCATTGTCATCAAACCAGTCTTGATGTTTCCTGGTAGGAAATACAAGTGCCTCTTCACAGATGCTGATGATGGTGGGCTTGAAGGCACTGTAAGTGCTGCTAACATTCTCCTCCCATTGTTATTGATTAGAATTAACCAGTTTTTTTATTGAGGCAGTAGTGAAAGAAGTCTCGCTGTATTGGGTCCTTGAGTCCTCCAATGCTGATCTTTCATCAACATTGTTTCTGCTTCAGCTGTTGTTTAGGAGCCAGTTTGAGTGATATAACTGAGTGGATGAGTCAATGATTGGTCCAGCAACCATCAGCTCCTAGCACAGCTCAGGTGATGCAGACGCGTTTGTGATCTGGTGCATAAACAATAATATAGTTAGTCAAGTGCCAGTGATTAGATCGTGAGTATTGCCATGATGTCTTGTGCCTGTTTTTCTGGCAGAACAGGGTGTTGGTGATGGTAAGTCCATGTTCCATATAGTTGGTCAAGAGGAGGATGCATTAGAGTTGACCTTTCCCATTCTTTTCTTGCCAATGATTCTATTCTAGAGGTTTGAGTCCCTTCTGGCTCTGTCATTGAAATTGCTGAGCAGAACATCAGAATGGGCTTGGTCATGGCTGGCATAGAATTCATCCTTGGTTTCATTGGCAGCATTAAGAATTGAAGCATATGCGCTGATAACAGTGGCATCTTGGCTCCCTGCCAATTTGAGATGGGGAATCATGAGGCATTCATTAATTCTGATAGGGAACTTTTTTATTTGGTTTATGAGTTCTTTCTTAATGGCAAAGCCAACTCCATGAAGTCAGTGTTCTCCTTCCTGTTTGCGCTTCCAGATGAGGGTATAGCCATCTCCTTGCTCTTTGAGCTGCCCATTTCCTGCTTGCCAGGTCTTAGTCAATACAGTGACATCAATATTGTGTTGCTTGAGTTCTTCCACCATGATTGTGGTGTGGCACTCTGGGTATTCACTATTAGAATTATCCATGAAGGTCCTGATGTTCCAGGTTCCAAAATTAATTGTGTATCTTTTGTAGATTTTGACCACAGTAAAGATGATTCCACTGGATACAGTTATTCAGTCACGAAAAAGGTAGGCAGACTAGGGCACCTTTTCTAGGCCTCTCCCTATGTGTGGTGAACAGAATGGATCCTGAGGAGGGTTGCTCAGTCATAACTGCAGTTGCCGAATTGCACTCCTGTCTCATCCAGGTGCTAGATAACCTTCTTGTAACTTCCACCTTCATGCCAGTTCATGACTGGGAGCTTCCAGACAATCACAGTCCTGCTCCTGTTTTGGCTAGCTGGTCACCAAAGGACTGGAAAAGCCATTTTTATGACAGATGCCTATGCATGATTTATTTTATCATGGAGAAACTGATGCACATCAGCTTCCACATGGTTCTTGACAGAACGGAACCTTGATCCAAGACAACTGGATATTTCATTCTGCTGCAGCCTTCATCTGCCTTTGCAGCCATTGAGATTATAACATCTTCTTCTATCTGCTCTTCTATTGAGGCCTTGTAGACCCAGGGCTGGGGGCTGGACTGGCTTATTATAACGGCAACCTGTACTCTCCATGTCACAGCACCATCAAAAAATATAGATGGCTTTTCAGGAGCGAATGCATTGACATCTGCTCTCCCCACCACATCCTGGTGGTGCAGCCACTGCTTGGTCTGTGACTGTTTATTCATCAGTTACTCCTGCCTATTTCTCAGCTAACCTTCCCTGAAGGTCATTCCGCTATCTGCCACCTGTAGACACACTAGATAGCAGTACAGCTCTGCCACCAAAATATTGTAATAAGTGTTCGTTCATAACAGAGATTCTAAAGCAGAACTAATTCAGGGGGAGGGCTTTGTGAAAAGGAAAACACTATTAAAGAAATCAAAGCAGTACCATAAACCTATTTTTGCAAAATCTTTGAACAGTAGTTCCATTTAGTTACTAATTAAAATGCATTAAAACCAGGAGAATTAAACTAAGTG